TGATCGGTTATCTTGGCATCTGTCGCATACATTCACGTGTGTACACTGAGAAAATGTTTCGAACAAGACACGCATGATAGAATGTATGTTTTAAGTCAAATAGAATCTGGTTATCACGATAGGACTCGATATTTCATAACCGGAACGTTTGAGAACGAAGGGCGGTATGATTCGCTTCTCTTTTACATTCGTGTCATGCTTCACTTCTTTCATTCATGCTTTATTGTGTCATGTTCCTCGGTTAACCATTTAACTATTTGTCACGCGTAAAAATTATCATAAGAAAATACGAAGATATTAATGAATAGCGCGCGCAGGTGTTGTTCTAGTCTAGTAAATCCTAAAGTAATGTTCTGAGTCGTCCATTTTTTAACAGACGAGGGCTCGATCCCCGAATTTATTCGAAAGAGAAACTGTCCGAAAGCCACGCGACTTTCTGCAAGAGGAGAATTTTCGCATACGTTTCTCTTTCGAATGAATTCAAGAATCGAGTCCCCGGTTGAATCTACTAGACTTTTAATTAATGCAACCAGATTTTTTATTAAGTGTTAGATACACATCTCTAATTCTGTATGGTAGATAAGTAAAGATAAAAACATGGCGAAAATAAAGACTTACTGTCGCCAGTAAATAATTAACCTATGTAGTAACGGTAACGAATTCAGCCGTTACTTTTATCGTTACTTTAGTTCCCTATTATCTTTTATATCCGTTCAATAGATCGTGCGCTGGTCGCGCGCACTATTCTCGCCTGGACAAAAATATTCCGATATTGGGCGCTGAGAGACAATGTCACATGAGAATGCGTTATAAGCATTTATCGACGTCTCGATTCTGGGGCCAGATTCGTGAATTCATTCTAAGAAGAAACGTATACGAAAATTCTGCTTTAACAGAAAAGTTGAAAGTCGTTTGGTCAAAACGACGCGTATATCCAAACAACTTGCAACTTTTCTGTAAGAGCAGAATTCTCGCATGTGTTTCTCCTTCGAGCAAATTCAAAAATCGAGCTCCTGTATGCTGGATGACTTGCTATATAGAAACTAGTCTAAAGTTTTAAGTTCTAATATTGATTATTAAATAATAATAATGTAATTTTATAATCTAACATCTTACTTTAGCATTTCAACAAAGTAACGAAACAAGTAACGAATTGTTACTTTCTAAGTAACAGTAACGGTAACGCGTTACTTTTTAAAATCGGTAACGAGTAACGGTAACACGTTACTTTTTAAGGTAACGTTCCCAACCTTGGTTTTCATTTAGACATATGTGATAAATAACGATGAGAATGACTTAAAACCGTTAGTATCCACATATACACAACTGTTGTATGTGTATAGCACTAACCCAATTTCTTCCCTTGAATTTTCTCCCTTTAAATAACTCGACCTTCATACGTAACGGACAATAGATGAAAACTCCAGTTTCGGACCTTCAACAGAGTCGTTCCATTGTGCTTTCTGAAATATAGATCACGTGGACAATTAAAATCCGTAAGAAAGGAAGCGAAAGTGCTCTGGAAAGGGCAAAACTGTGTGAAAAGAAAAAAATATATAGGTTACGCAAAACGATGCATCCATTGCGAAAAAAATATGATAGCAACTCAAGGAAAAAATGCGAACAAAGTGACCGAGATATTTTACGACACATTGTCACGAAAGGCCAGTAAACCTAAAGTCTAGAGTACGATAAATCTTACTTTATTTGGGTCACTTTTTAGCGGAAGTAACTAATTACCGGGACTTCCGAAACTTTGGGCGGTACAGTCAGATCTTATATTCAAGGTCGTCGTTAAGGGGTGATTCCACTTTAAAAAACTATGCTTATCTTTAACAATTTTTTTACGGTAAATACACCATATATGAAATAAATCTTTTTGGAATTTAAGATTATCTTCAGATACCCCGCAGCCAATGAAATGTTCCGTACGGCATCTTAAGATAAACTTAAGACAGTCTGAAATATAAGATCCGACTGTGAATATCGGCTTTAGGAAAAACGTGAAGGGTTTTCTCAATGAATAAAAATCACGAGAAATCGCGAGCCGAAGGAAGCACGATCGACCCGCGATGTTCTCGGTACAAATTTTAATGCATCTCGATCGTAAATTAATCATTTGCCGGAGACTCGACCCTTGGGAAAATTTACCTGAGAAAATTTTAAAATTTTACTTTAGAAAAATGAAAAATATGAAAAGTAAATTTGGACACTTTTAAACTTTTATTTAAGGTAAACTTAAAACTGGCTTTAAAAATTAAGGAAAGTATGTGATATAATTTATAACACCGCGTGCGGTTTTTTTCCTACGAGAAAGTGCTACGTCGCGCGGCCCTCTAGCGGGAAATTCGATAGGCCTGGCTATCTAAAAGTTACTTTAAGTGTCCAAATTACTCTAAAATTTCTTAAGTACACTTTTATCCTCTTTAAGTAAGCTCTTAGATTTGAAAGGTTACTTTTAAAAACTTTAATTTCGTTTGAAGTAAATTTTCCCAAGGGTCGTGCGCGCCGACGACATCGTTTGCTCTCGCATCTTATTTTTCAAGCGCCCGAGCATTTGTGTACGCGCTGTTATATTTGGTTGGTGCACAAGTTCGGCCCGGTTTTAGACATTCGCGCAATTTATATACGAATACGATCTGCTATCGACTTCACACTTATGTGACGTATTAAACATTTGAAAGTGACAATTAGACGGAAACTTTACCGTCAAATTTGTTGTCGTCGATTGCCGTTTGTGAGTCGTGTGAATTTATAAAGATGGCTAAAATCTCTTTCGACATATTACCCCATATAGCACAGATGGTTGCAGTTACATTGCAGAAACGTTGCAATCTTGCAGATTGCAGTGCAATCTTGCAGAGACATTGCAGGGATATAAAATTGCAAACTTTCGATAACAATATTGCAGCAAAGTTTCAAAAATAATGAAAATACTATATTTTCTATTTAAAACATTTTTCTAATTACGAGAATTTTATAATGTTATTTTCGTTGACACCAATAATGCGCGAATTATTAAGTACTTGATCAGTGCGGTGTTGCTCGCAATCTCCATCTATTGCGAAGCGACATAATCTCCTTAGGTTGCCTCGCAATAGCTTGCTGTGTATTGAAAAAGGCCCGGATGCATGTGTAATTAGTAAATTCTCTGCTTACGTACAACAAATTATTCCAAAAATATTGCACTTCAACATTGCTATAATGTTGCACTGCAATCTCTCTGAGGGCGGGCATTTCAACGTTGCTGCAATATTGCAATCTTGCAATGTAACATTTCTGCAATCTTCCTGCAATCTTTCTGTGCTCTGTAGGTTATGACGGATAACCGTGGTTATTGGTTGCAACAGTTTGCGATGACTGGCGATGATTTTAAAGTGTTGTGGGCGAATTACGCCAAACAATTTACTTAAAATGCCTTTCGCATTACATAAAAGAAAAATTCTACATATCCAGTAATAAAGTTTTTTTCCTTTCACCCTCTACGCCACGGGAGCGTTTTTCAACCGTTAGGTTATTGTATTTAATGTAAAGAATAAACTGTAAAAATTTGAAACAATTCTCACGTAAACAATTTTACGAAATAACTACCTTAAATGTATTATATCGGCAAAATATAATACAATAGGCGTGAAATTTTCGGTGTAAAACCGGGACGAACTTGCGCATCGACCCAATATTTACTCGCTTCGCGCAACCTGGAAGACTCCGGACAGCGGCGTATCATCGCGCAATTTACACCGGCCGCTTTTGAAATATCGACAGCCGCGGCGAACTTTTTGCAAAAAGCCCGGCCGCCGCCGCGCTCGCAGCGGCGCGACTGTCGATATCGCGCGAGCGGCACATTCAATCCGCGCGCGTGGCATCCGCGTCGCGGATTGAAAGGCGGGCGCGATCCGACGACGTGTCCTTCCCCAGAGACGACGCCGATCGGTGACGCGGTCGCAAGTGGCGAGGTTTCGCGGCCGAGAGCGGCCTTCTCTCGCCCGAACTTTGGAAGCGCGTGAAACGCACGGGATTCCTCCCCCCTCCCGTCCCTCCTTCTCCCTCGCCTTCCTCGGGGAAAGAGCACGCTCCTCGCACACGCGCCGGCCTACCCTCAAAGATCACGGTCGCAGGTTCACCCTGTCTCTCCCTCAAGTCCCCTCCAGCTTGCTCTTTCTGAGCAGTAACGTCTCTCTCTCTCTCTCTCTCTCTCCCTCCCTCCCTCTCCCCGCCCCCTCCCGCCCCGCGGGGCCACCCTCTCGCACCGTCGCCTCTCTTCCGTCGCGCCCTTCCACTCTTGCTGTCTCTCTCCTCACCTCTCGCTCGATATCCGCGCTTCTCCGTCTCTCTCACTTTCTCTCTCTCTCTCATTCTCTCGCCCCTTCGTACTCCATCTTCGGCGCACAAGCTAACCCCGCGCGTCCTGTTCGTCGAAGAGTGGTTTCGGCGACTCGCGCATCCGGGGTTGCTATTCGAAGAGGGTAGCGCGGCCGCACGGCCTGGTGGGGGCCGCGCACGGCACGTGGTGGGGCGCCGACCTGGACGCGCAGGGGTGGGGGATGTTTGACTACGAGCGAGCGAAACTCGGTTGTCATTTAGTATTGGGTTAGGTCAGCCCAGAGTTAACATCGTTCTCCGATGGTCGTCCGCTCCGTAATCGGCGCACCTTCGCTCGCGGCTTCTCGCTCGTTCGCGTGATCGGTCCACTGCCCGGTGATCGGCTCAGAACGCCGTTGCAAGTGCGCCCGCGGTCCCGGGTGTTCTCGACCCACCTTGGAGCGCGCAAGTCACCTGTGCCGGATCGTCGAGCGCCCGCTCGCGCCGGAGACTCGCCGCTCCGCTTTCGCGCGAGGCGGAAACGAGACGAGGTCCGCTGCGCCGGCTTTTGTTTCTCGCCGCGAGTGACATCCACGTTGCGCCCCGGGGGGAAGCGGGCGGAATGTCAAAGTGAGGACGGAGCCCGCGCGGATCCTAAGCATGGCACTGTCCCGGCCGTGCGAAATGCAGATTTACGCAGGTATATCCTTTTTCTCAACCCCAAATTTTCTCCGGAGAAAAGAGTCTTGAGAAACGGCACGTCCGAAGCCCAAACAAACTGCAAGGCCCTACCGTCCGCGCGCGTTTGATTAGGTGGTAGGCCGGGCTAAAACAGTGATATTTATAATTAATAACTCGTTAACTATTACGAAAATTGAAAAATGGTAGAGGACTTTTCGACTCAGTTTAGTCCGCTCTATCCGCAAATAAGAGGTGAGGCGGGTATTACCTAACACCCTGTATACACCACAATGCCCTGAGCGGTTTCCCCCCTTGCATTTTACTAGCAGAATGTACAGTAAAATTTCAAAAAAACTTTCATAAAATTTAATTTAATTTGATATTTTTAAGGCTCTGTGTATCAATAACTTAATTGAGCTAGGGGGGGGGGGAGCAATGAGAGCCAAACGCTGGATGTTGAGTGCGGGTATAATGATATTATGTGTGTTATTTATTCAGGGTAATTAAAGTCAGACGTTTCGACCATCGCATGTGGTCCTTTTCAATAACATGAGAATATTTACATAAATTTGATTGTTTCGGTCAAGTACGCATGTTAATAAAAGACTCTAGCCATCGCTTTTTAATAATTATATTATGAGTAAGAGAAACTTAACGCTTGTATCGATGAACGCAGTGTCTCGCATCGTTGTTTAATTCAATGGTGACGCTCATCGATACAAGCGTTAAGTTTCTCTTACTCATAATATAATTATTAAAAAGCGATGGCTAGAGTCTTTTATTAACATGCGTACTTGACCGAAACAATCATATTTATGTAAATATTCTCATGTTATTGAAAAGGACCACATGCGATGGTCGAAACGTCTGACTTTAATTACCCTGAATAAATAACACACATAATATCGTTATACCCGCACTCAACATCCAGCGTTTGGCTCTCATTGCCCCCCCCCCTAGCTCAATTTCATAAAATTGTTCGAAACGCCATATTGTTCCACAATTACATGCTTTCAGGATCAATTTTAAGAGAAACATCTCTCCATATTGAACTTATTGTTAGTATACATTTAATTAATAGAATTTATAGTGAAATTTCAAGAAACTCTCATACAGTTGTTTCAAAATGCCACGTTGTTCCACGATTCCATGATTTGTGGTGAATTTTACGAGAAAATTCTCTCCCCGTGTACATGCTTTGCGAACCGAAACTTCCGCCTAATCTACAATATGCTCGCTGCGTCTAGAATTCTATTGTGGAGATAGTGGATTCTTGTAAAAAATGTGTGCAAGTTGATAAATTGTACATAGTACAAGCAAAGTATTGATTTGCTTAGATATGGAAAAATTTTTCCTCGGATTTTTCTCTTGAAATTTATCCTGAAAATCGTGTAATCATGGGACACCATGGCATTTTGAAGAACTTTAGGAGAGTTTTTTGAAACTTTACCATACATTTTACTAATAAAATGTATACTAACAATAAGTACTACATGGAGAGAATTTTCTCTTCATATTTACCCTGAAAAGCATGTAATCGTGGAACAACGTGGCATTTTGAACAACTGTATGAGAGGTTTTGGAAGTTTTGCCATACATTTTATTAATAAAATTTCAGAAAACTTTGATGAAGTTGTTCAAAATGCCGTGTTGTCCCACGATCACATAATTTTCAGGATAAACTTGAAGAGAAAATTCTCTCCGTGCACATATGTCTACTAATAATTATACTTACAGTTAGTATACATTTTACTAGTAAAACATATGGCACAATTTCACAAAATGCTCATAAAATTCTTATAAAATTCTTCAAAATGCCCCGTTGTTAAAATTTACCTTGAAAATTATGTAATCGTGAGACAACGTGACACTTGGAAAAACGTTTTAAATTTTACCATACGTTTTACTGGTAAAATTTCGAAGAACTCATAACATTCTTCGAAATGTCGTGTTGTCCCACGATCATATAATTTTCAGGATAAATTGTAAGAGAAAATCCGTGTACGAAATAGAATGTTTCGTAATCTCAAAAAATACATTGCAGATTAGACTTTAGGGCACAGGGTTTTGTGAACCGTTTCGCTGCTACAAGCGTTCAAAGGTCAAAATCGCAATGTAACAAAGCCAATTTGCTAAACGAGATCACATTCAATATTCAAAAAACTATGCGAGGCGATTATCCTTGTTCTTGCGTACTTTTTTAACAGCGCGGCACTGAAAGAACGCCTTATATTGAACGTTTCTAGCGACTAAACGGTCCGTCGCAGGGACCCTTGATCGGCGTCACTCGCACCACTTATTTTCTAAGTTTCAACCAATTTCCATAGGAACTGCGCGAGAGCCTTTGCATTTCTAAGTTTAACAATCTCCAATTTATGTCCTTCGATAAACAAGATAAAACTGCACGATTAGTTCACGACTGAGCGGGCGTCGGAGCGGTAGGGGTCGTTGCGCGTCTTCTTTTTTCGAGAGTCACCTACGCGGCGAGATCGCAGCTTCTAAAAGGTTGCTCCTTCAGGAATTGACGTCACACGCGACACACACCTTTATCAATTAATAATTAGGCGTCCTACGGGCGGCGGATTCGAAGGGCGTTGCGACGGGAGCGTTCGGGAAATCGGGCGCAACACTCCGCGGGCACTTTCGAGCCGTTTCTTAACGAGGTAAAAATGGAAGAAAGCAAATCCGAGGAAACGACAACCGACGGAGATCCGCGCTCGATCGCCGCGGGCTAATTAATGGACTATTTAGAGAGCAGCAACGTCGTTGAATCAATAAGGGTGCGTACGGGTGTATCTCACTCCCGCCGCCCTAAAATTCCCTTAACGGCGACAAGGGATCCTTACAGCCTACGATCGCCGTTTCTTGGCAACGCGACGCCAGGAGCGCCGCCCCCGCTCGCGTCTACTCCCTAATTGGTCGCAACCCTTGTAGTTCCGTCGCGGGCACTCACTCTCGGAGATCCTATTAGAGGCTAGAAACCGTCTCAAATTAAGCTATATATCTGTATTTATTTGATTTCGCGGGGAGAAACTGATACAGAGCCGACGAAAGTCAACGCCGAGTCTCCTCGGTTGTTTCCTTCGCGCGGCGAAATTATTTTCCGCGCGTAGAAGCCGCAACGGCCTACGGCAATCGCATAGCTCATTTTCCCGTGTTCTCGGAGGTTCTTTTGTACGGTTCGGTCATTTTCGCAACGGCCTTGGTACGTTTTGCTAAAAGTTCGGTAAAATGTATTTCGCCGTATGTCTTGTTGTGTGTGAAGCCGCCGGACGCCTACCTCTTTTCCCTTTTCTTTTTCGCAACATTGTCCTCGGGTCCGTGCAAACCGTAAAATATTATCCTTCCATAAGTCATGAAATTTTATCCTTTTTATTCCCCCCCTTCGAGCGCTTCCGGGTTTGCTTTAAAAAACGTTATTCTGGAAGAAGACGCCGCGGGAGTCTCTCGGATTTGCACGATCCGAAAGGGTGGAATTCGGGAGAGACCGGGTTCGCCGTCAGCGCGCGATTCAACTGTCTATACGTAACGATCGGGATCGGGAAGGTCAAGTCTCGCCCCGGTTCGCGGGAAGTGCGCGTTCACGGAGACACGCGGGGATCGTTGCCGCTTACGAGGGAGGACAGGGAGCGAGGCGTACTGCGCATTCCGAAGCGAGGATTATTTTCGGACCGCGGGTGCGTCGCGCGAGTCGCCGGCGAAACGAAATTTCCTTTTTTTTTCCCCGAACGACCCACTCCCTCCCGCGCGCCGGGCGATTTAGCTAATCTCTCGGAGACCCATCAGTGTTTACGATGTGTCACGGAGTCTCGCGCGCGCGAGCTATATCGCCACGTAGACGCTTTTAGACTTC